ACTGCTTTATCATCCCTGTCATTGAATTAGTCCTACCCAGCTTTACTAAGCTGTGTTAGCCGCAGGGAGTCACAGGCTGTTTTGAAAGGCAACTGTTAGTCATCTCTGTTCTTTACACCAATGTCCTCAAAGCAGAAAAATACATAATTAAGAAAAAGAGCACTTCTATCCTCCTATCAAGATCCTTTCTCTTCCTTTTCTAATCTCTTTCCCTTGTCCTCTCTTTTTCCTTTTTCATGTTTTTCTTCTTGGCTATCTCAATTGACTTTCTGAGTCAGCCTGCCTATATAAAGACTTTCTCCTGTAGTAGGAGCAGATAAGAATTACTTCTTTTTTTTCTTCCATGTTCACCTTCTTTTAATACATGCAGTGGACTCATATCTGGGAAAATATATGGACTGCAAACCTTAAGATGGGGGAAAGACTGCTTAACAAATAGCAATTCCAAGGTATAGTAAATAATTTTCCATGAACCTTTTAAAGTAGTAGGTAAAAATTCTATGAATTCATTATGGAATCTTTGCTCCGTTAAGAACAGAATAATGTATGGCAATAAAATCTGGTAATTGAACATCAGAATAGACAGCTTTTCCTTACACCGCAAGTATTTCTTGGTTATATAACAAACATAAAATGATTCCACTAAGCTAGGAAATAGCTAGTTGTGTTATGTGTTCCATAACAAGTAACTTTAATCTTTTCAAATTAAGCATGAGCTGTGTACCAGTGTGCTTTGCACAATGCACTGTCAATGGCCTGTGTGCAATATTCTTCCTTCCCATATCCTAACCTTGAGGATTCCTCTCAAAGACAGGCATGCACACGGTATCTTGGACAGTAAATGCTAACAAGAAAACATCATCCTAGAACATGCAGGTGTTTGTAACCACTGCAGGATTTTTTCAGGCTATTATGCCTTCAACTGAGTCTTTTAATGTATTTGCCATTTCTTGATTGAAGGAATTCTTTTTTCTTCTCTTCTATAGAAAATGCCTTTTCAGTGACTTTTTGTTAAGTTCTGTATTTCTCAGCATGTTATGCTAGTAGTTCCAGTTCTGTGCTCTTCCTTTTGTCATGTACACAAAGAGGCACTCCAAGAAATTAAGCACTGGCTTCTCTGAGCTGAGACTTTGTTTGTCTCAGAAAAGTAGGTAGCTTAAGAGGTTTGGGTTATTTCTGTGAGTTTTGCCACAGATAGAAAATGGAACTGCATCTGTTTTCTATCTAAAATATATATTCCATTAATGTAGGCTTTCATTCTTGTTTAATGTTGTTAGATTAGGGGAATGGATCACTGTTTTCTTTTTTCTATGAGCATGTGTCTAATTTTAAAAATTCTTACAAAATTGTTATAAACAGTTCTGAATTTATATTTTGTGATGAATCACTCTCCAAATACAGTGCAATTGATATTATCTTGCTCTTCCTCTCTGTAAGAAGCTCATTTGATTGGTTTCCTTCTTTCTTTCTCCTCTTTCTCTCTCTCTTTCCTTCTTTCCTTCCTTTTCTTTTTATTTTTTCTCCATTTCCTGGCACTTGACCAAACTTATCTATCCACAGTAACTTATTAACCTGTTTGCTCCAGCATGTCTTAATAACTAGTTTAAGAGTCCTGGTTTATAATCACTTTCTCTCTTGTACTTTTTTATACACAGTCTTTAACCTGAAGATATTAGTCACTTCTACAAAAGCTAGGGTAGTGCTAATATCTCCTTAAGTCACATTGACAACAACTAGAAGAACCTAAACTTTAATGTCTTGGCCATTGTGAGTCTTGTTTCCTAATAGTTACCCCTTTGCTAGGAACATTCAAGGAATCCAATCCATCCTTTCACCCTATAAGGGAAACAAGCAAACAAACAAACAAACAGCCTTGTTCACAAAGAACATGGACAAATTGGAAAAAAAACATGGACAAATTGGAAAAAAAAAAAAAAAAAAAGGGAAGAGAGTCCCATAAATCACCACATCTCTTCTTCACTTTCCTTCCAAATGTATTAGTACAAGCCCTTCGCTATTGCAGCTACAGAGCAGGCTGTAACTGATAAGAGCACCTCAATTCCCTTTTTTTTTTTTCTAGGGCAGCTGGTGTCTCTCTGGTAACTGGTATCCATAGCATTTAAGACTTTGTAAATTAAAGCAAGAATGCTGACTTGTGTGACATCACAAAGTGACATCCGCACTGATTCCAAACCCCTAGATATAGCGAGCTTCTTAAAGAAAGGTGCTAGGCAGGCAGACGACTCAAATGCCAAGAAGAGATCAGATTATGAGGATTTTATGGGATGTTGTTAGACGTCTCTCAGGCTTTCCTTCCAGGCTGCAGAGCTGTCTCAGGAGTTTTGCTGCCACTGGCAGAATCCTCCAAATCTCTGCAGTTGTATCTGCAGAAAAGCAGCATTAACTCCCAATTAAAAATTCGGAGCTTGCCTATGCAGCAAGATTCGGTAGTTTAAGTACTGCATAGAGATTCTAACCATATCTATACAGACAGCTGACACAGATTTACAAGTCTTGCTTTGACACAGAAGGAATATCCCCTTCAGTAAATGTTGCTACAGTAAGTTGGCACCCTTTGCCCTTTTTTTGACTCTTCTTTGCATGGAAAGATGTTTTTCTATTGCATGGATATACTAGAAATCTAGCCAGAAGTCACTGGGATTTTGTGAAGTCAAGCACACAGACATGCAACAAACCGAGTCTCCGATTCTTCTTCTGCCACCTCATGCTCCATCTCTGCTTGGCTTAACTGACACCACTTTCACAGCTATTTCGAGTTAACTAGAGCTTGCCACTGTCACTTCCAAATGCATAGCTTGTGCTGATACCTTATCCATATTTCAGCTGGTCAGCTGCAATTTTACAAGCCAGCCGCAGAGCTAGTGAACAGCTTTTGTTGTAGTTCTGGCAGAATCAGAGAAAGCAGCAGCCTGCTGGCCCCAAACCACATGGGAAGAGGGAAGAAATAGACCACCTGTTCCTGGAGGAGCTTTTCTTAGATCAGCTTCATTTGGTGCAAACCCTTTTTAGGATTTGTGGAAGAAGTACAGACTGGATTTTGCTGCATAGCTACCATGAGCTTTATCTTTGTGAAGAAAAAGAGCACATTTCTGTGAGATAAAGTTTGCTGCTACGCTACAGTGACTGAGGACTCCGTTTTCCATAGCCAGCACAGTATGGAAAGCCACCACCCCTTCCACATAATGCTATCAGTCATAAACTAGCTTTGACGTGGACAAATCAACGTGGAAGTTAAGGTAAAAAAAGGTACTGTCTCTGCATGTTACCAAGCCTGGCAGGGCTGTTGAGGTTTCTGATAGCTTTGTGTGCATGAATTTTCCAGTTGTAGCAAGGAGGGGACTGATAGCCCTCTTACATTCCCTCTGAGTCAAATCTCAGTGCTCATAAACAGAAAGCTGCAATGTGCAGTGGTGTGTCCTGTGTCACTGATGCCCGGCTGCCTGCAAAAGTTTCTTGCAGGTAGGATTTTTGGGTAATTCCGCGTCTCTTTTTTTTAATTCATGGCTGTGGGGTAGGAGATAGGATCTCCCCGGCATGGCCATCAAGGCTGTATCCTTTTTCCTCCATTATTCTGTGAGGCACTGCTTCCCTGTCTAGCGAAGGAAAAGGATTTGCTGTGCGGCTGAATCCCTGCAAAGAAGCACTGAACTGTTGCCGAAGCAGCTGGCGAATAACAGAGCGTGAGTGGCGCTGGGGGACGGCGGAGAGGAGCCAAAGGGGAAGGCTGGAGGCTGCGGAGCCCTCGCTGCCTGCTGTGTGCTGCACAGCGAGTGGGAGAGCAGAGCGGAGGACGGGGCTTCCCTCGGCACAGCCGGAGGGACGAGACTCGGAGACTCATCCAAAACAGCAGCACCCCAGATAGTAACAGACAGTATTTGGGAAGCTTTATATTTGCTACATTTGCCTTTGAAATTAGGAGCTTTCTTTTTTATTGTTATTTTCATTATGTAATCTTTCACAGCTTGCTTCGCAATTTCAGTATATGTAATATGGCTCTTTCACTGTTTGAAAGAAGAGTTCTATGATTTTATTAATTTATGCTTTCAGTAGCTTTCTGCAATTTTAGGTTGTCAGGTTGTGTTTTTAATAGGTGCAATTTATGGCAGCCTGTGTTTAACATCATCACTGAACTTAAGGAATCAGGAGAGGTCACCTAGCCCAGCCCCAGCGCCTGAAGGCAGAATCTGATCTCTCCGTCACTGCTGAATGATGCTTGTCTAACCTGTTCTTAACAACCTCCAGTGATAGATTCAGCACCATCCCCAAACAATCCATCTCAATGCCTACCTGTCCTCAGGGTGCTCTTACATCATTTTTCTAAAGCTGTTCATAATAAAAATTACCTCTGTTGAATAAAATCATTCTTTATTGTCCTCAAAGTGCAAATACAAAATTGGAATTGAACAAATAACCTGAAAACAAAGGAGGACAAGGAGGGAAGGAAAAGAATGTTGCATACAATGACAGAACAAAAACATGCAGTACAAAATTAGCAGCTCTTTCAACTTTCAGCCTGAAAGCTTTTAACTATATGCAGTTCAATTAAACCTTTTCCTACCTCACTGCTTTCAGAAATCTGTAGGACAGGCATGGAAGCAAACCCATGTTTGGATAACAGGTAAAAATCCACCATTCCAGTTGCTGAAAGGGGATGTTACGTGGGAGTTGTAAGGGTTAATTCTGTTGACAAGAGGTGTCCTTTAGTCTCAGAGACTTGAAGCAAAAGTAGCTTGGGGCATATTCACAACCCTGACTTGGAGATAAGAAGTCACATTCAGGCTATTCTGAGGCAATCCCCCTTTCATTAGTACTGCAGGGGAAAACACCTACAGCAACTGGGACGAAGGGTAAGGAATGTTCTTTACATTGGTCTAGATATCCCATGGCCAGGTTGCTGCAGCTGCCAGAGTAGTGGGTGAGTGATCTCAAATCTTTCTTTCTAACAATAATGTTTGTTGACTTGTGATTCCTGATTCCAGTTCCCCACCACATTCCCCTCTGTTTGCCTGTGTGTTCTTCTAAATCTTCAAAATACTCCAGAGATGCCCGGTTTGATCCAAGGAGTGAAACTTACAAACTGTCCTGAGCTTGTTGAATATATCTTCTTGAATTTTTCTGAGATCAAGGAGCTGATAAAGATGATTATCCAGCCCTGAGCACACAAGAAAACTAAGGTGAGAAGAATAAGTAATTATTATTCATTATTTAGTTTCTGTGACTTCAAAAATAACACCATTCTTTCCCTCCAGCTTTATTTAAAATACTTGTCCTCAGTCTCCCTTCCCCCTTTTGCAAACCACTTTTTCCCATACACTTTAGTATCCTTCAGAAAGCTCTTTTAGCAAATTACAAGATTTGCAGTGAAAGGCTGTACTGACTAGAATAGCTTTTGGTGGATGGAGTGGACAACATTTGTTGCACTGAAAAATCACAGTGCCAACCTTGCCACTACCCTTTGGAAAATCTCAGGACTAGACTAGTAATAGAAGTTATACTTCTTCAAGCAGTGATATCTATTGACCTGGTGGCAAGACTCTAAGAGTACGCCAAAGAAGCAGGGGGAAGGATATGTCAGCAAAACAAGCATTGATATTATTGACTGAAGTAGTTAGATTTTCTCCCTCCTGTGGTGCTACATGACCAAGAAAATTACATGTCTATCTCTTCTGCAATGATCAAGAAGTTACTGGTGTAAAGAAGTCATGATAAAAACACTTCCCATAAAATTCATTTTTATTTGATTTGTGACATGCCCGAAGTTCACGGGTGCATTTACAAAACAGACATATTTTTGCAAGTCTTCTTGGGGTAAAGTTGCTGATTCCCGGTTACTATCTCTTTGTTTGTGCTGCTACTAAATGGAGTTGCCTGATGGAATGCCTAGTTTTGCACTTAAGGAGTCTCACTAGGTTTTCTACTGAGAAAAAAATAGTCTGGTATTGATAAAATACTATGTTTTCAACTAGGAAAAAGGCACCTAGAAAATACTATAACACAGCACTCTAAAATGTACTTTATAATGAAACTAGCAGGGGTATGGAATTGTTCTAGATGGCAATAGCCCCTGTAAACACATTTCTTTGACAAAGTTTTCTTTTTAGAGTCTGGCATGCCAAAGGCTGACGGGGGAGGGGATCTGCAGAAAGGGAATCTGGGCTTCTGTAGTGGGAGGAAAACTATGAAAGAGGAAGGGAAAGCTACAGTTACTTGGATGGATTTCTTAAATGTAATGAATATTTCCGTAGACTCACCTTTATAGCGAGAATCACAACAGGGGAATGGTGGTTATCTTGAGCACAGATGGGAAGAAGGAAATGATAAATATGAAAAGACTATGTAGAGGAAAAATCCATGAAATCTAGTAGATCAGCAGGAAATTATATATATATATATATATTTGTATAACTCATTACATGCAAGCTGTCTCTCATGGAAAATACTACTTGTCTTACCACATGCTTTCACTATGCTGCTGCATGATTGTGTGAGGGACACAACAGTGCCAAAAACCATAAGTAGGAAGTTTGCTGGTCCATTTCATGGTTTCCTCAGTTTGCTTTATGCATCATAGAAATAATTGCTGAAGTTAGCACATCATGGCCAAAGCACATATCTTAATTTTTATTACTGGCGTTAGCACAAAATAGGCGGAAAAAAAAAAAAAAAAAAGATTCTATGGCAAAATCCTACTCAGCTCCTCAGGGTATAGATAGAACTCTTAGAAGGCTGCTGCAGTCCTCTGCTTTCTTGCAAGAGTTTCAATCCAGATTTTAACGTCTCTAGTTTTCACAATGCTTTTCAGCCATTCCATTAGCGGTATCTTCAGAGTGAGGGAGGCATCTGAGGGATGTCTACACAGCCCTTGATGTACGTATGGAACTGCATAATGACTCACTAGTTCTCTGAATCCAGAAAACTAGAAAGGATTATCCTAGTTGTGTGTCAGTGCTTTGGGGAAAGACCAAATCTGAGAACCATAATCAACACTGGATATGGTCATTAACAGGACAGCGAAGTAATGTGGATTTGGAAGTGATAAAATAAGTGAACTCTATAGGATACATAGATAAGTCTACAGGATACATAGATACATTTATGTAGCACATACATGCTAGTGCTCATCCTCATTCTTGCGATGTGAGCTTCAAGAGCTTCCTACACAAATAAAAGAGCTTCTTATTTAAGAATCACCATATAATGACACAGGGCTTTTCACCACTTCATAGCTGAGCTTAGCTGAGTAAGCCCTGTTAGAGGGCACTAAACTGAAGGGTGAATACGTTACAGGGCACTGTGATAAAGTACTTTCCTGATTCTCCATCTATTTTACTCTCCAGAAAATGATGCGTCTCCCTGAGTAGCCACCTTTCACAGCCTATTCTTCAAAGTCAACTCAGCCTGTCAAATGAAAAATTATACTCATTCTGTGTTTTGGCTTCAACGGTACAAAAAATATGAAGGGCATCACATTAAGATTGGCTCAGCCCAATCTAATCTTGTTTTTTTTTTTGTTGAGTTTTGCTCTTTGCTCATCAGACATCCCTTTCTAACTTTCATAATATTTAGTTAGGGTAAGATCCTTTTGCTCTAGTGGCTCATAAGATCTATTCTAGATATATTTCTAGCAGAATCAATATAGACTAAAAAAAAACCAGTGTGATATAGCTGTAAAACCAAAGATTTCTGTCAGAGAAATTTCAACTGATGAAGCTATATGAAAATGTCACAGACAAACTATTCCTCCCCTTAACTTCCTTTAGGGCCATTTTGCTAAAAGCAGCAGGGATCTGATAAGCTCTGTCCAAAAAGAAAGGAGCTCAGATAAATGTTCAGTCTCAACTTTTCAAATTAAAAAAAAAAAAAAAAAAAAAAAAAAAAGCAGAATTAAGACTATCTGCCTTTCCAAAACGGGGAAAAAGGGAGGAAAATTATTTTTTTCCACAGACTATAGAGCTAGTTATGGGATTCCTGTCCTTTCCTTTTCCTCAACAGTGAAAATAAAGACATATTTGTTCTGACTGTACTGCTACGCTCACACATCATTTAATGCAGCAATTGTATATTTAATGTATATACATGCATATTAATGTATATGCATTAAAGCACCCCTGAATTACACTTGATTTTTTTTTTACATATTATTTTATTTATTATTTATTTCACAGCTTAGATGCAATTAGCCAATAAAATTGGCTTAAAAGGCCTGAAATCCTCCATCTACTTTTTGTGACTGAACTTATTTTTTGAATCCATATGTTATATATTATATAGAATATATATTTGTGGTATATATTTATTTTATATATTTAAGTATGACTTTTACAATAATTCTTCTAGAACTAGCTGCTAAAGAGAGTGAAAACGTACATCATGGAAAAATATGCAGGAAAAAAAAAAAAAAAAAAAGAGCCAGGCAAGTATTTCAGAGTAACTGACATACACTGCAGAATTATTTTTCTGTAACAGGTGTGTATATCCAGAAGGCCTCTTTTTGGTAACTTGCAGCTGCTCTTTTTTTTCTTATATCATATCACTCTTTACATGATTGGTTGTTTTTACTTTTAAAATAATTCCAAATTACAGATCTATATGCAGGAGCAAAGGTTAGCAATGAGCAAGCACTAGCTTTGCTACACTTCACAAGAAAGATACGGAAGAGAAGTTATGCAGAGAGATTTGTCACTTCCCCCAGGAAGAGACTACCAAAAAAAGGACAAGCAGAGTACATGAACTACTAATCTATTTTTTCCACATGGAAATAACAATGCCTCATAAAGATGAGGTGTATTTATATTTTTTCTTACTTTGATTGTGACATAAAAGCATAATCAAATGTTTAAGGATATTTTATTGCTCATTTTTATTTATGTGGAAATTATGTGATGCTGCATATGGGAAAAGGAGACCTGGAAACTTGTATTTCTACTTTCTTTGCCTAGCTATTTTGGGATTCTTAAGGAAAAGGCGTGGGAGCTCATCTCCATGTGGACCTCAGGCCTAAACTAAATTTCTAATATTCGTGAGCACAAGTTTGATATTTCAGTCTATTTCTTTCTCTTTCACCTAATGCCACATTCTCCATATATGTAAAACAAAAATAGGAATGCATCCAGAGTGCAGTGTATTGTCCACCCAGACACAAGGATGGAATCAAAGAGTAATTTTGGCAGTTTGGCTATCTCTTAGATTCTTGGCCTAAAATGTAAACTAAAAGGCTTTTTAAATATATATTGAGTTATAGTAAGTGTGATATATACACACACACCACTTATTTTGAATTTATGTAAATTAGTATTTAATGTGAAGAGGGAAAATATCATGTTTTCCGTCTATAGTATGCAAGAATACATAGCCTGCCTGCTGAAATCACTTCAGAAGTTTTGAGCTTACCCCTCTGTGATTTAGAAGTTCTATCCATGTTAGTGTTTGATTGTTTCAATGGGGAATTCATTTGTAATTTATTACATGATGCTCTCTCTCTTTCTCTTCTTTCTTTCTCAGAACAAATTATGACATCGACATCTAAAGGAATTTTCCGGCCATTTTTGATTATCTTCATTGTCCTCGGTTGTTTCATGGCGTTTTTACTTATTTATATCAAACCAACAAATAGCTGGATCTCTGGTCCTATAGAATCAGCCAGCTCAGTTTTGAAAATGAAGAACTTCTTTTCTTCCAAAACTGAAAATTTTAATGAAACAACTATTTTGATCTGGGTTTGGCCATTTGGTCAGACATTTGATCTGACCTCTTGTCAAGCCATGTTCAACATCCATGGATGCCATCTGACTATTGACCGTTCACTATACAACAAATCCCACGCCGTTCTCATTCATCACAGGGACATCAGCTGGGATCTAACTAATTTACCTCAGCAAGCTAGGCCACCGTTCCAGAAATGGATTTGGATGAATTTGGAGTCTCCAACTCATACTCCACAAAAAAGCGGAATTGAGCATCTCTTTAACCTGACTCTGACCTATCGGCGCGATTCAGATATTCAGGTGCCTTATGGTTTCATGATGGTTGGTACAAGTTCCTTTACTTTTGAAGTGCCAAGTAAAGAAAATTTGGTGTGTTGGGTCGTAAGTAACTGGAACCCAGAGCATGCTCGAGTCAAGTATTACAATGAGCTTAGCAAATATATTGAAATCCATACCTATGGACAAGCCTTTGGAGACTACATCAATGATAAAAACTTGATTCCAACTATTTCCAGTTGTAAATTCTACCTTTCATTTGAAAATTCAATCCACAAAGATTACATTACTGAGAAACTTTACAATGCTCTTCTGGCTGGATCAGTACCAGTTGTACTGGGACCTTCCAGAGAAAACTATGAGAATTACATTCCAGCAGACTCTTTCATACATGTGGAAGATTTCCTCTCACCAAGAGAGCTGGCAGAATATCTTTTGATGCTTGACAAAAATAACAAGATGTATCTTAGCTATTTCAACTGGAAGAAGGATTTCTCAGTGCATCTTCCTAGGTTCTGGGAATCACATGCATGCCTTGCTTGTGATCATGTGAAAAGACACCAAGAATATAAGTCCATTGGAAATCTAGAAAAATGGTTTTGGAATTAATTTTTTTTTCTTTATGTGCACTTTTTGAAGTATCAGAAAGAATCCTTAGTCCAAGTGGAGAGGAAAGCAAAGGAAAAAAAAAAAAAAACAAAAAAAAAGGAAAAGAAAACCTTATGTCATGTTTATCAGCTATCCTCTCCTGGCTATCCTATTTATATTTTGTAAGAAATTTTAAAAGATCATCAGCAACAGTCATCAATACTCAGTTTTAAATTATAATGTACATACTAATTATGTGCACTGAAGAATATTTTATTGTTTACTATAATTTTTAAACAAGAGTCTTTCACATTTTCTGTGGAATGCGTCCCAGTCTTACACACAAAGCAGTCATTTTTAACACTGTTCTTTTTACTTTAGATTAGCTGTTCAACCTATTTGGAAAATGAAGACAAAGTACTTTAGAGAATTTTAAGAAAATAATTTGCTGTTCTAGTCTGAAAATGTCTGTAATATTTCAAAAGACAGTAAAGTTTTTTATGGTTCATCTTAAATTTTAAGAACACATTAAAATCAATACCAACTATTATGCCAGTGTGCACCTCTTTTTAGGAGTAACGAATTTAGAAACACAGTTTTAAAAAACTATCAAAATAGTAGAAAGTCCTGGTTTCTAAAAAGGGAGATGAGTTTCCCAGTAAAGAGCTTCACTAAGTTACTTCTGGAATCTATCTGTTTTAACTCTCCTAAGAATCAAGCTGTCTGAGAGAGAGAAGATGAATAATCTTAGTTAAAGAAACCCTGATTCATTCAGTTTTTGAGTTCATTTAAATTCAGCATGTACTTGCATCCCATTTTGTCTCACGCATTGTTTACATGAGCCAGGGCTGTAGCTTTTAAACAATTTTAGTAAAGGCATTTCATTACATCAACCTCATATATACTGTAAGGCCGGTAATAATGAGTTTTTGAAAACAGACTGTTGAGAAATTTTAGCAAATTTTCTTATGTAATTTTCTGGATAACTGTGTATTATTCCCCAATTCTTTAGAGATTTCTTGAACTTTAATTGTAGTTGGGTAATTTACTGTAATGGCTGATTAGTGTGGAAAAAAAAAAAAAAAGACTGAATGTTCCCTTTTTCTGAAGGAAAAATGCTGCAATTCAGTCAACATCAAGCATCAGGCCAATATATGCAATCAGTTCGGCTACTGATTTCAACTATTTTTGGAAAATATGCTGTGTAACAGGTATAAACAAATGCACTCAAGAACAGTAGATACTATCAAAAATTGAGTATATAGTTAATTAGTATTATATTTGCTGTCATAGCAAATACTAAAATGTGATTTTGTCATGTTCGTTTAAAATATGTATGTTTTAATATGTGTATCATTTGATTTTATTGCTCTTTCAGCAAGATGTAAATATATGGCTGCTCTATAGTCATAGGTATAAGGTTGGGTTAATGCTATAGATGTATGGATATATTTTTGTACCATGTGAAAGCAGTTTTTGTTTTTGTTTTTTAATGTCAAAATGTTACATATCAGAGCTGCTGCTGAGTTGCAGTCAGCTCTGAATCTTGTGACTATTTTTGGAGATATTCTAAATCATACAAATTCTTTTCTGAATATATTACTTTTTTCTTTAAACTAAAGAATTATAAAAGAAACTGAAGTAAAAGAAATGTTAAAAGGTAAACATCTCACAGGATATCATCAGATAGTCCCAAGAGTTAACAGTTGAATATTTGGTCCAAATAGTTGAGAGTCTTTAGACTTTTCCCTAAAGAAAGGAATAACTCACAAAGATCTCAAAAAAAATGAATCTATGAAACAGTAGTGTTTTTTCTCATTTTTTGTAAACAAATACCCTGCCACTAACCTAAAGAAACACATACAAAAGCAAAAAGAAACACATACAGAGAAGGATAAAAAAAGTAAAAATTTAACTGTAGATAAAAGACCAATTTATGTGATTTATAAGTCCTTGATATAGCAAAGTAATTGATCAGGTACTCAAGATTAAACTTGCATACATGTGTTGTGAAGTAAGGAAAGTTAAGGGAACAAGGTGAACAATAATAAATATTTAGCAAAAGATAAAACCTCTTTTAACCCAGGCTAGAACACCAGCATTGAAGCCTGTTAAGAGTAACAGAGTTATATTTCTGAAGTAGGAAACTGCACTGGAATGCTTATAGCATTATACTTATACTTTCCCTATGGCTTCAAAGGCTGTTTTCTGACCCAGATATTTATTTCTGCTATACTTTTTGCTTTCTTAGAAAGTTAATTTACAAGATACTGTGAACCTCTTTAATTCACCAGCATTTCAGTATGAAACAAGAAGAAAACCCTTTCCTTGCACAGTAATGCAATATAATGAAACCCAGTCTTCTAAAAATAGAAAATAATTTTTAAAAAGTACACAATAAAAATTAAAAAAAAAGTACAAGCACAAATGTAATACATTTTTTTCTAACATTTTGAAAGCAAATATCTAATGCCTACAGTACAGAAACCAAGGATATTTTATCATGTTCTTGGGGTTTCAGGAAGGTTGTGAAATTCTTAGTCGTTTAATATCTCACTGCTTTGGTTGAATAACCTGATTCCATTGGTTATGGAACCTGGGAGTGGTTTGCACTAACCTTCGTGGAAGTTTATTCTGCCTATGTGCACAGTCCCTTATTCCATTCCACATTCCAGATAGCTGAAGTTGTGCTTCATGATCTTATGTCAAACCACACTGGTCTCTTGCCTTCAAGATTCAATTAATAAATTCTCATATTAATAAGTAAGCACAATAATGAAATGAGAAGATATATGATTTGTCACTACAAGTACCAATCATTGACTATGCAGGGAAATATTTAAGTATATGCTAAATTTTAAGCCTGCAGGTAATGGCTTTAAATTTGTGAGCACCAGATCAGGTCAGCATGACTAATTCTTTGCTGAACCATTAAGATATTTGAAGTCTTTTGCAAAAACTGGGAACAGAACTGTCACAAAAGACTTGTATGATACTTTGTATTCAGGACTCATTGCTCAAACTGTCTGAAAGATTAATAAAATGAGAGAGAAATCTAATCCACTTTAAAATGACTAAGAATCATGAACAAATCCTAAGCAAGTGACATCAGGAATGTCAACAAGGTATTAGGATGAAATGCATGGGCTGGAACATAAATGATCCAGCCTTTTTATGATGTTTTTGGGGTACTCTAAAGCCTAAGCAGTTCAGGAAATAAAATACTTTGGTGACAAGATATTAAGCATCTTCAAGTATTTCTAACCTGACGGGAGGTAAGGGATGCAACATAGCTGGACTTCATGCATACTTGCATACATGCATACATGCATACATAATGGCAGTATAGCTAAACCTAGACACTTTGATTCCTCACTCCTTTGGTGAGCTCTCCTACATGAAAAAAAAATAACATAAAAAGACTCAAAGAGTAAATCACTAGAAAGGAAACTAGGTAAAAAGAATTAATGACAAAAGAAAAAATAACATGGAAGTAGTTAAAATAGAGAATGAGATATTGTTGATGCTTGGTACCACTGGCAAAAGAAGACAGTTGTACAACAGAGAAGAAATGAAAGATGAGAAATCACATCATTTCTGACTGTTTTCTCAGCATTTTTTTCAGCATATTTTATGTGCCAGCCTGCAACAATATGGAGAAGCATTCACTAGTCAGCTCTGCAGTTACTGTAGTATAATGACATTTGTGGCTTAATGACATCTTCTGCAAAATGTTACATTTTTCAAAACAAAGAGTAATCATTATCCTTTCCTTACAAAGCCTTTTTTAGGCTCTCTGTCCTACACCGATCTATTAACATTCCTCTCTTTATGTGCAGAAAATAAGATCCAAAACAAAGCACTAACTGCAGATGCATTATCAGCCCTTTGAATGTGAATGGACATCAAACTGACAGGAGATCCTTCCAAAGCAAACTTTTCATTTCACAGGCACTCAATGACCACAGCAGCTTTTGCTCTAGCGGAGATTTCCACTCTGCAGAGACTTCTGGTTGCCAGCTTCTCTGAATGCCCCTTGCCATCTGGGACGGCTGTACTCACAATGAAGAGGCTGAGCAAGCATCACACAGCGTGCAAGACACAACCAACAACATATTTCTCTTTTAAGAAACAGTTCAGATAAAATAAAAGTAGCACTGACAGAGCATGAATCTAGGGAATTTTAGAGCTCATGCAGACTGAATAAGATGTGTGAAATTGGTATTACTGAGCACAAATAACTACTGTTTCTAGCTACTCATCTTTGATCCTCAAAATGGGCCTTTAAGAAAAAAAAGCGCACTGTGTAATTCTCCCCCACCTCCAACCACCTCAGCATCAGTTAAATAACCTAAAACTACTGTTGATTACTCATGAAGAGTATTCATGTCAGCCTTGTATTACCTCTTTTATTAGGCAAAAAAATAACATCCACGGGACAGAAGTGAAATCTGCCAGTAGATTGATCATATTTGCCATTAAGATTTTTTGATGGTTTTTTTTTTGGTTTGAGGTAAATCCCCCTGCCCTTGTGATTTTCAGACTTCACTTAAGCACATGCTTAGGGCCATGAGGCTCAAGCACATGCTTAAATTAAGAGCATCTTAAATGCTGGTGTATTGGGGCTTCAAAGAGTATAGTTACTGTCTTTGGGAACTGAACCAGAGAACAGAGCCTCTATCTAGCACAGGCTAGCGTGACCTCTTCTGCATCCCACTGCCCACAGGGAGCACCCTGTAAGCAGACTGGCTACTCCAAACAGAAACTGTTTGGAATAATTCTGAATTGGTTTCTATTCAGCAGACCCTGGGCCTACTCTTCTGCTTAAGCAAACAACTCATGCCACCATTACCTCCTGTACTCCCCTCACAACATGGCACTCCACTTTACAGCCTCCCTATGCTGGGCTTGGTTTGTACATTTGGATGTGTTAAAGGAGGAGAGGGAAACCAAGACCTGCTGAGACAGTATTTAAAAGGACTTTGCTAGAAAGAAAGCATAAAACCTGATCACTTCTGTGTACAGTTAGCCTGGACAAAGCACATCCCAGGGAAGATGAGTATCAGTCTTGCCAGAAGGAAATTTTCCTCTTGGGAAGAAATACTTAGTTCAGTCCAGATAGGACTCTGGGAGAAAACAAACATGTTCACAAAATGGAAACAGGAGGTCCAAGGTTTTGGAGAGACTAGGGGCATTACCCTGTCTATGCAAACTAGAGATTTTTAGCTTTCTTCAGGAAAGCTGCTGACCTTTTTAAATCTAGTGATGAATATTAATCATATATTCAAGTGCTTCCCTGGTCAAAAATAGTATGTTATTTAGAAGAGAATCATGGGGAATTATTTGGTTATCCAAAGGCTGGTGAGCTTTTTTATTAATATTGACTGACAGTTCTGTTTGTTCTTTTTTATTATCATTTTGAAATGTTAGATGGAAACTGAGATAATTCATATGATTCTTACAAAATAACTGTCTCAGCTTCATCTTTTATTCCTCACATAGGCAAATCTCCCACTGAAGACTTGGGAGATCCCCAAGTCAGGAATACAGGGTTGGGCCTAGAGCAGATAGCCGCGTAAAGAAGCAGCTCCTTCTTTGTGAATGTTTCCCTTCTAAAATGTGAGTAAATAGTTCTAGTGATCTTGCCAATTCTACCTTCAGAAAATCAGTGCAAGATTCATACTTGCAAGATCTACAGATATGCCAAAAATGAATTAAATAAAGCATGAAGTTAGAATTTTAATTCATGACACAAATGCTACAGAGTGATACAGATGATAAAACTATGCGTTCAAGAGAAATTATTACACCTAGAGACTGAAGTTTCTGTGTTGGAAAAAGTGGTTTAATTACTGTTTTGGAAAGGTAATTAATTGGGAATCTTCTCTTTTATGTTGCCACACTGTGGCTCTGTGCAATTAACTGAAAACAAGGGCTTCTGTGCAGTGGATAGTTCAGATATGGTCATGTGTCACAGAGCCCTTCACCTCTAGGTTAACAGCCTGAATTATGAGTAGATTGGTAAATGCAGCTGTTTGGCAGCCTCTAGTAGATGGTGTGGTTATCTAA